GTCAAGAGCTCTCTCAGCCCCACCTACCTCACAGGGTGTCTGTTGTGGGGAGGGGAAGGGAAAGGAGTTTGTAAGCCGCTCTGAGACACCTTTGGGTAGTGAAGGGCGGGGTATAAATCCAATCTCTTCTTCTTCTTCTGATTGAGGTTCAAAATGGGAAGGAATAGGAGAGCTGAGAAGTCTGTGGTTAGTATAAACTTGGATTTCTAAGATTACCTCTAAAAACAGATTAGAGGTTCCTCTTTTTTGCACATCTGGAATAGGATACTGAAAATAATCTTTTTGGGTAACTTGGGGTTAAATTAAAGATAACTAGAAAGTTAGTTTTTCCTCAGAGAAGCATATTTACAACTGAATTGCTGCCAAGTCAATCCTGTTGTGATTCTGAGGTTATTTTCTGTATTCCTTCACTGGCAAAAATGGAGACTGCAGTGTATCAACAGTTTATCTCTACAGAGGAGGTATGATATTGGCTATGTCAGTCTTCTGAGATTCTTTCAGCGCTTTTATGTCTCTCGGTCTTTTCAAAGAACAAGTTCTTTCAGTTACAGTCTATCAGCTGCTGTTGTGGCTTTTTCCATCAATAATGAGAATTACCTCTTGGGTTTGATGGCTTGTGCAGGAAGTTTGGTTCCTCAGTGGTCAAGAAGTGCACCAATCACACAAGTGCTTCAACTGATATTTTTAAAAGCTGGGCTTCAAACCCCAAGAGCCTTGCTAATACAAGGGTCGTCAATATCCAGTCCCTCAATACTTTCAGTAATTAGCACTTACAAATGATTCCTATGCCGCATGCAAATGTTCTGTTTAAGCCTGAAGATGCCTCATTAGTTTGTAACTTTGTAAGTTTGTAATCACAGACTTAAGTAACTGTCACAGTTTTTCCTTATACTTAAAAAAGTGGGTAAAACTACCTTTTACTGCTCTTGAGAGAAATAAAAATGTGACTGTGGTTAAGGGCACTAAATGACTTTCTTTTTCTGTTCTAAGCTTGAATGGATGTTTTGTTCTGCCTAGCAGAGTATTCAAAATGTGTGCAGACAGACTATTGGTATGGGTACTCTTCTGACAAGTGTGTGAATCAACCAGACTCCTTGTTTCAGACAGGAGAAAAAAGCATTACTTACTAGCACACCAGTGAAATCTGAAAGCTTGGAGAATCTCTTGGAAAACTTGAGTCTAAGGCCTGTCAGTTCCCCTCAAGTAAACAACTTTTCAAGTCTGTCTCGCCAAGGTAAGTGACACAAAGGTATTACAATTGTTTGTGCCGCATGACGGAGTGAGCTTCCGTCTCTGTTTCCAGCTCCTGCCAACCTAGCAGTTTGAAAGCAAGAAATTGCAAGTAGATAAATAGGTACCACTTCGGTGGGAAGGTAACAGCGTTCCGTGCACCTTGGAGTTTAGTCACGCTGGCCACATGACCACGGAAACATCTTTGGACAGCGCTGGCTCTTTGGCTTGGAAACGGAGATGATCACTGCAACTCTAGAGTCAGATTCGACTGGCTTTCGAGCAAGGGAACCTTTACCTTTATGGTAATGAACATCTGTCTGATTTGAAACTGGAGGGAACTTCTAAGCTAAACTGCTGTCAGTTATAAAATACAGTGCTTAGACTACGAGGAAGTAAATCAGTTTGGTGTTCTTGTCTGAATTCCAATAGATAACCAGTCTGGAACTGTGGGAAAACAGTTAGTGAAAGAGAATTTATTTTGCTGCTAGTGTGCGTGCACTCTTGAATTTCATCAGAGGCAATGAAGTCTGCTTTCTTTTTTTGGGGGGGAGAAGGGGGGATGTCTTCCCATACTATATTAAATAACAAATTTGTGTTCCAGACTGGGTACATCTTGGGTAGCCAACTTCTTGCAAAGGTGCCACAAGTGACAAAGGAGATGGGGAAGGCTGTGTGGCACGTCTGGAGGGAAGCTGGAAGGCTTGAGGGGCCTGGCAGTGATGGTTTAGACTCTCTGCCTCTCCAGTGATGAGTTTCCGTCTAGTCCCCAGTTTATTTTAATGTAGCAAAGTGGCAAGGTTTTAGACAGGTGAGGCGGGCTAGCATATGTGCCGTGGTGTTTCCTATAATGACACTATCTACCCCTTCCAGCCTGACTTGTGGTACTCTTGCCAAAAAGCTTGGGCCCCAGTGGGCCAGAAGTTTATACAGTACTCAGTCTTTAAGCAAAAGCATCTAAATGTGCTGCTGCTACCCAGGGCTTTTTTTGTAGAAAAAGCCCAGCAGGAACTCATTAGCATAATAGGCCATACCCAACAGCAGGAGCTCATTAGGATATTAGGCCACACCCTGACAGCACAGCTCATTCGCATATTAGGCCACACCCCCATGTTACCAGAAGTGTGGTCATCCAGCCACACCCACCTTTTACTTCTTATTCTCTTTACCTTGTTTGTAGTCAAAACCCAGGGCTTTTTGCATGTTAGGCCACACATCCCTAATTGTAGCCAATCCTAATGAGTTGCTGCTGTTGGGTGTGGCCTATTATGCTAATGAGTTTCTGCTGGGCATGGCCAACTTGGGAGCCAGCCAGAACTCCGTTCCTGTGCGTTCCTGCCCAAGAATAGCCTTGCTGCTACCTCTTTCTTTTCCTGCAGAGCAAAGAAGAAAATGGGTATTGATTTGTCTGATTAAAAAAAAAAAAGATCTTAGAACTGAGTACTGCTTGGAAATTATAGCAAGCGGAGAAGTCGTTAGGTTTCAGTTTTGGAATCTCTGGATGGGCTTGAAGCTAAGTGTGTCATTGTTCAGCTCCATAGGCCTTCAGAACAAGAACTTCTTTCTTCGCACATCCTTATTAGCATTATTTATGTGATCAGACCCTCGGCCTGGCAAAGATCGCTTGCAAGTTACACAGGGAAGTATGTAAGGCATTTTGGGTACGTCCAAGGACAATCCTCTTTAACACTTGCAAAAGAAGTGCTGCAGAAAGGGCTACTGGGCACCATCTTGTGACGCTGAAGTATACTTGTAAGGAAAGTGGTAGGAACTGAGTCCCTTTTGGCAGTAGAGTATTAAATCCCTTAACCTAAGAGTCAAATGCTATTTTGCTTAGATTACTTCTTGATGTTCAAACAACTTCTGTTTACTTGATCTTGCTGTTTGTCTTATGTCCCCCCCCCCCCCCCCGCATTATTATTAATGAAGTCTGGAGAGAGCAAACAATTGCCCGCCTGCTGCAGCTTATCGATCTTCCACTTCTGGACTCTTTGCTTGAGTATGGAGATACGGCTGAAAGATTTCCTCAAGCCCAGCAGGAGAATAAACATAGAGTCACAAGCAATTACCTGGACAGAGAGATTCTGAAAGCTTTTGGTGACTCTCAGTAGGTATATATTTGTATGGGAAGACAAAAATGCTGACCTGCACACAAGGTCATTTTATGTAAACTTCTTTTGCAAACTGTGTTGCATTTCTAATTCTTAGGGGTATACTGAAACAAAGACATGCAGACAACAAATAGGAGATGCCCCATCACGACTGATGACTTAAGTGCCATTGAAATCAAGAGGACATGTTCCATTTATTTTGATGACACTTGGTGATAACTGACTTCACCTGCATTAGGGCCAATGTCTTGGAAAACATGCAGCTTTTAAGACGTATGGATTTTTAGCAGCTTTTAAGACGTACGGATTTTTTATTTTTTAGAACAGATGAATGGCTGTCAGCGGCAATCGACTGTTTGGATTATCTGCCCGATCAGATGGTGGTTGATGTTAGCCGAAGTTTGCCTGATAGGCCTGACATGGTACATGTGGGGAAACTGCTCCTCTTTGATACCATTGGTAGATACTACAGTCAAAAGAAGGAACCACTCTTAAGTCATGCCCCTGATATCCATCTGGGAATTGCAGAACAGCTAGGTAAGTGCAATTAAGTGCACATGATGAAATGATAACTGAAGGCCAGTTACTTTGGCAAATATCTACTGTTTCCGAAGCGCCAGATGTTTGTCTGTAGCAGCAGAAAAGAGCAGGAGTCCAGTAGCACCTTAAAGACTAACAAAATTTGTGACAGGGAAGGAGCTTTCCTGAAAGTATCAGAAGTGTGCAGTGACTCATAAAAGCTCACATGCTGCCACATAGTTTGTAAGTGAGAAATCCGTTAGAGGTATTCACATACCACAAAATATCAGTTCAAATAAATACACAATAAATTGGTAATTTAAAAATCCAACTTGGCAGTAATTCACTGAGAAATGTTGTAAATCTTCATAGTAATCAGCAAAGAGATGTTGATAGGATGGGATGCCAGCTATACTCCCGTTTCGAAGTTTTCTTCTTCAAGGCCAACCTCTTACATTTCAATTGCAGCAAATCAATAGCTTAACAAAACTGAAACAAAGTTTACTGTCAAATAGTTGTAACTAGCCAAACACACATCATTCCTCCCATGTAATAGCAATAATAATGTGATACCGACCTTTCACATTTCAATATCAGCATATCAATAGCTTAACCATGTTCTAAACAGCAGTCATAAATGCTCACATGTGGATCAATTATAAATACCTTGTTAAAATAGCAGTTAAGCAATATTACTTCATCACTTCATCACATCAAACATTCACAAGCATCATTCAAAGGACAGTCTACTTTTTAAAGATACAGTGGGCCATACATAATACCATATTGCTTAAACAGAAGAGCTCAAATCACATTTCTCATTCAACCCAAATGGAACTACAGAATGCAGAGTATACATCCAGTAAGATTCTCATTGTTGTAAACAGTTGACTATATCTGATGTTTAATTGTGTATCTGAAGAGCAGGCCATAAGTCTGGTATAGGGAAGTTACTATTCTAAAATGTGCACAGAACTAATTCGTCCCCTTTGGTTTTCACTGAGCACTAGGAGGTAAGATATGCCTGTCCTAAACTCATTACCCTGATAAGGATGACCCAGGCCAGCCTGATCTTACCAGATCTTGGAAGTTAAGCATGGTCAGCCTTGTTTAGTACTTGGATGGGAGACCACCAAGGAAGTCTAAGGTATCTGTGCAGAAACAGGCAATGGCAAAACACCTCTGGAAGTCTCTTGCCTTGGGGAATTGCCAGAAGCCATCTATGACTTGACAGCACTTTCTGCTTCTTAAACTCATTACCATTTTTATTTATAGTGCTTAACAGAGATTAAGTGGGCTCACCCTAGTTACAGGCTCTATTTCCCGCATAGTTCAATATGCACGAATTCTATCTATCAGATGGATGCAGCAGTCCTAAATAAGCTAACAGTAAGTCATTAACCTTTTAACATGAGGAAGTGGTGTCTTGTGCAGCGTCTGTTTAAAGGAGGGTGGTGGAGCAGACGTCATTCAGAGACAATTTACTCCACAGTTCTAGGTGACTGGCTGCTTTCTTCAGAAGCGATTACCTTCTTAAATAGTCAGCTTTATGGTCCCCCCCCCCCCCCAAATGCATACTTCAGCTTAATGGTAACTGGTGTACGTTCTTACTAGCAGACTTGACCAGCTGTGGGGGGTGGCGGCAAGTTGTTGGTATTTAAATAGAACAGCAATGTAATGTGGGTGTTTTCTCATCAACAGCATCGTTCTTTTTCGTTCCAGTGAATGGAAAGACTGACCAGGCCCTGGAAGCAGTTCAGCTCTACTTGAAGTTGTTGGACAGCTCAACGAGAGAAGAGTTCAGGAGGCTGCTGTATTTCATGGCTGTTGTAACTCAGAATTCTGAGCTAAAGCTGCAAAAAGAGGCAAGTGTGATCCCTTGGGGGCCCCTTCCAGTGTTACCTTTAGGGGAAAAGTCCACTGCATGGCAGGGGCTGTGACTCCGTAGCAGAGCATCTACTTGGCATACAGAAGGTCCCATCTTCAATCCCTGGTATCTTCAATTAAAAAGGCAGGCAGTAGATCTAAGCCTGAATACACAGTACAGACTTTGATGGATTAATGGACCCATTCAGTATAATGCAGCCTCATGTGTTCCCTGTGGCTATTTCCAGAGCTTTTTTTGACAATGCTGGATGTCACACCACCTGTGACAGGAGCCTCTGCTACAACTCCTTGCTGTGTCAGCCTAAACTCTCCAGGAACTGAAGCATTGCTGGAGTAAAAATAGAATGCAGCCTAGTCTTCACTCATATAGCCTTCATTGTCGCTACTACTGCTGCCCAAGGACCGATCTGAAGGCACATGACATAGCATGGTGAAGCTAAGCCAGTCTGAGTCTGTCCAGCAGATGGGTAGGAGACCTTGGAACTTACGTATGCTATCCTGAGTTACTGATTTTTTGGGGTGTAAGGAGGTTGGTACGTCAATGTAATCCAGAGCGGTGCAGGGAAAAGTCATATGGCAGTGATTCCTACTCCATTAAAATAACACCAGAAGGCATCATGCTCCAGCCTTACTTCATGGAGATCAAGGCGTCGAACATGATCATTTCTGCCCCTCACATCCTTACAACAATGCTGTGAGGTAGGTTAGGCTGAGGTATCCTGACTGGCTCAAGGTCACCCACTGCGTTCCATGGCAGAGGGGGATTGGAACCTGGGCTTTCCTGGTACCACTCTGACATCCTAATCACCACAGCACACTGGCTTCCCACAGTCTTAGGGTATAATTCGACATGCGTTTCCATAGAGGTTCTATCTCCTTGTTTTGCAGACTGACAACCGGATGGTTGTGAAAAGACTTTTCTCTAAAGCCATAGTGAACAATAAAATGCTGTCTAAAGGAAAAACGGACCTTCTGGTTTTGTTTTTGGTTGACTATCAAAAAGATGTCTTAAAGGTAAGTGCTTGAAACAGAGGTCATTTCGGGGGGGATTGCGGGGGATCACAGTTCCTCCGAGTGAGGTATGGGGGGCGGGGCACATGACGAAGCCTCACCCCCTGCTTCCGGCAGCCCCGCTTCCGGCCCTCATTCAGCCAGGAGGAGGCAGGAGAAGAGGGAGGGTAAGTTGCTTCCTCCCTGCCTCTCCCCACCCGTGCCTGCCTGGGGTCAGGGAGGGCCTTCGCGGGGCTTCCTTGCACTCCCGCTGGTCTTGCAGGTCCACCGCCGGGCCCCTCATGGGGCTCGGCAGTGGAGCTGCAAGGCTGGTGGCGGCCGGGACCGTTGGGGGCGGGTTTTGGCCTTATGACACAGTTCCGGTGATGTCAGGGGGTGTGGCCTTATGACACAATTCCAGTGATGTCAGGGTGTGTGGCATATGCTAATGAGTTATGCTAATGAGTTCCCCTAGCTCTTTTTCTACGAAACGACCCCTGGCTTGAAAGATCTTTTTTTCCATATTGCAATTGTATAATTTACCTAAATTTTAATGACTGAAATAAGTTGTGGTTTCCTTTGCTCAAGATCCCAGGGACACTGCATAAGATGGTTAGTGACAAGCTTGTGGGTCTACAGCAAGGGAAAGATTCCAGCTCGTGTTCAGGTAACCATGGCTTTAACTCTTTGATCACTTTTTAAAAGCCTAGACTCTTGTTTCATATAATTTGGATTAGGATATATCAGGTGCTTGATACAGGATGTATGAAATAATAAAAGGAATGCTTAATATGGAATTAACGAACTTTACTACAGCATAGAACTTTGTATGATGGGGTCCACTGCATGAGGCATTGGGTCCTGAGAACAGCATAATACTATGTATTAGTCAAGCTTTTTAGACCAAGATGACATTAACACCATGAGCAAAATTCTTGGTACAATAAACCTGAGATGACCATAGGCAAAGCAAGGTCCTCACTCTGTAGTGTTTGGATAGCCCTCACCTCCCAGTGTTGCTTTATAGATTATATAAGAACATAAGAGGAGCCCTGCTGGATCAGACCAATAGTCCAACTAGTCCAGCATCCTGTCTCACACAGTGGCCAACCAGTTCCTCTGGATGGTCACAACAGGGCATAGAGGCTGAGGCCTTCCCCTGATTGTTGCCTCCTGGCTCTGGGATTCAGAGGCTGAGCGCCTCTGAATGTGGAGGTTCCCCTGACAAACTTATGCTCCATGAATCTACCCAATCCCCTTTTGAAGCTGTTTATGCCTGTGGCCATCACTACATTCTCTGGCAGTGAATCTGACGTTTTAATCACTCTCTGTATAAAGTAGTATTTCCTGCTACACGAGTTTGGTGTAGTGGTTAAGTGCGCGGATTCTAATCTGGGAGAACCGGGTTTAATTTCCCACTCCTCCATTTGCAGCTGCTGGATGACCTTGGGCAAGCCATAGTTCTGTCAGAGCTGTTCTTGAAAGAGCAGTTTCTGTCAGAGCCCCACCTACCTCACAAGGTGTTTGTTGTGGGGAGGGGAAAGGAAAGGAGTTTGTAAGCCACTCTGAGTGAAGGGCTAGGATATAAATTCAATCTCTTCTTCTTCCTCTTCTGTCCGTCCTGAACCTACTGCACATCAGCTTCATTGGATGCTTTCAAGTTCTACTATTTTGGGAGAGGGAGAAAAAGGCAACTCCCTCCACCCCATGCATGATTTTATAAACTTCTATTACGTCTCCCCCCCCCCCCAGTTGTCTCTTTTCTGAACTGAAAAGTTCCAGACCCTTTAGCCTGTCCTCATAGGGAAGGTGCTCCAACCCCTCCTCTGCACTTTTTCCAGCTCTGCAATGTCCTTTTGGAGATATGGTGACCAGAACTGTACACAGTATTCCAAATGAGGCTGCACCATAGATCTGTACAGGGCGTTATAATATTTGCCATTTTATTTTCAGTCCCATTCCTAATAATCCCTAACATAGTTTGCCTTTTTCACTGCTGCAGTACACCAGGTTGACACTTCCATTGAGCTATTCACTAGGATGCCAAGATCTTTTTCCATCTCAGTCTCAGCAAGTAAAGGTAAAGGTTCCCTTGCTCGAAAGCCAGTCGAATCCAACTCTAGGGTTGCAGTGATCATCTCCGTTTCAAAGCCGAAAAGCCAGCGCTGTCAGAAGACGTTTCCGTGGTCATGTGGCCGGCATGACTAAACACTAAGGCGCACAGAATGCTGTTACCTTCCCACCGAAGCGGTACCTATTTATCTACTTGCAATTTCTTGCTTTCGAACTGCTAGGTTGGCAGGAGCTGGGGCCAGAGACGGGAGCTCACTCCGTCATGCGGCACACTCGGGTCTTGAACTGCTGAACTACTGACCTTCCACAGCCTGCAGTTCAGCGTCTTAACCACTTGAGCCACCGCAGCAAGTAGGGGTGTGCAAAAAAAATATTGGTATTTTTCTGATTTGGGTCTTCCCAAATATTCCCAAATCCCAATATTGGTATTGTATTGGGATTTGGATAAATATTTCGGAAACAGAAATTTATTTGGCTCCACTATACCCATGTCTCCATAGGGTATAATGGAGTTCAGAAGGCATTTAAACTTTAAATGCCTTGAGTTCACTCACCAAATTGCACTGCTGCCGTGGCATGACTCAATGAGTTCAGAAGGCATTAAACTTTAAATGCCTTCTGAGTTCCTTAACAGCTGAGTGAGCCTGTCTGCTGTTAGACTGACATGGCTGGAAGCCAATTCATCGATCCCTTTCACTTCTCCCCCCCTGCTTGGAAGTGGGGGGAGGGGAGCGAAAGGGATCAATGGAATGGCCTTTAGCCATTTAAATCTAACAGTGGGGTGAGTGAGCCTGTCCGCTATTAGGTTTAAACGGCTAAATTTTCTCGTTTGTGTCTATCCCTAGTTCAGAAGGCATTTAAAGTTGTGGTGGCCAATGTTCCCTCTAAGCCGTGGAGTCTTGTGAGCAAAAATTCTACTTTGTGAGCTCCTGTCATTACAGTTGTGAGCAAGCAATTTGTCTACTGCATAAATTAGTTTGTTCAGGAGCCATCCTTCCTGAGCTAAAGCAAAAATATGTGAGCTGGAAGCTAAGAAACTGTGAGCTTGCTCACACTAACTCAGCTTAGAGGGAACACTGGTGGTGTCACAACTCTGCAAATTCAGAAGGCATTTAAAGAGACTGCAGTATCTTTAAATGCCTTCTAGCTATGTCTGAATAAAAGCCAAATAATATTGGCTTTTATTTGGGCAGGGCTATTTTGGTAGCTGAATCAAATTCTCTAACCTGATTAAACTGAATAAATACTCGAAAAATACCAGTGAAGTATTTTTGGGGTATTTATTTAGCTTGCTATATACCTAGCACACACACACCCCTATCAGCAAGTTCAGACCCCGTCAGCCTATACTTGAAGCTGGGATGTTTTGTCCCAATGTGCATCACCTTACACATACCAAACTTGAACTTCATTTACCACATTTTAGAGTAAGTCTTGGTTTTCACCATCCTGATTAATTTTGTGTCATCTGCAAATCTGCCCACTACACTTCAGAGCTAACATACATCTGAAGTAATCTGAGCACTTCAGGAAAATACTATATAAACACAAAGCACTATTATTGAGTTTTCATGAATGTTTTAAAAACTTTTTTTAGGATATACCTTCTGCCAGAGGCTTGATGAAAGTGAGTATCGCTACTGTGCCCAGAAGACTACAAATGATGAACTCTTAACTTTACTAAAATCTATCGATGAAGACATGAGTCTCTCTGCTAAGAAGAGGAAAAAAATGCTAAATCAGTTCCATGTTACTAATCCAGCAATATTTTTGCAGTATTTTGGTGACAGAGCTACAGATGGGGCTATGTAACTTCAAATGTGGCAGGAAACTTTTTAAACACTTGTTTGGTTTTTTCAGCTCTTGTATTAAATAAAACTGTTTTGTACATATAGAAATAATTCACTGGTTTTTTTTTTTAATTAGAGCCGATTATTTGAAATGTTTGAACTGTGCAGATACATTTCTAGGTTCTGTATGTTGATTTCAGATGTTATATGTTGATTAGCAAGATAATAGAGTATTGTTCAGTGTGTTATCGTCCCTATCACAATTTTATATGCTGCCTCTCTTAAAGACCAGCTTGAAGTAGCTCACAAAGTAAAATGTTTGTTTCTGTGCAAATTTTAGGCTTCTAGCAGTGGACTAATAGGGAAGATGGGCTTTTCCTCCTGAATGTCACTTCTTATTGCTAATTGTCAGCTGATTCACAGAGCAATTCTAAACTTAGTTACATCATTCTGTATGTTCCCTCTAAGTTGTGGAGTCTTGTGAGCAAGAATTCTACTTTTTGAGCTACTGGCATTAAAGTTGTGAGCGAGCGATTAGGCTACTGCATCAATTAGTTTGTTCGGGAGCCATTCTTCCTGAGCGAAGACAAAATTGTGTGAGCTGGAGGCTAAAAGACTGTGAGCTAGCTCACACTAACTCAGCTTAGAGGGAACACTGCTTAGGACTGCACTGTCTGAGTTCTTGAACTATTATGTTCTATAAGAACCTGACAACTATGTTAAACCAATTATTGTGTCTAATAGTATATTTCCACTAGTAAGTTTTTTGAGTTCCAAATAACAAATCTTCCCTATAAGGCTGCATTCTTAAAGTGTGAGCCCTGCTTAGGATTGAGCAGCATGCATATTAGGAAAGTTGTGGTGCCTGCTGTGGATAGGGTATCTTGTTTATGGGCCAGTTAATTTGATCCTTAGGCATATATGCCTAGCCTGTTTTCTGTTTAGTCCTATATTGATGACTAGCCTGATACCCATGCTTCGCTACAGTATTTAACTTCCTTAAATCCAATTATAATACCGATTATGTAAAGTTTGAAATATAACATTTGTTGTAGGAATTCTAATGGAGAAGATTGTAGTGTAAAAAATGAAGTGAGAAATCCATACTTTCCCCCCCTCTACTGAAAGACCTCTCTGTAGACTGCTGGGGTGGGCTCCCTCATGGCTTTAAGCACCCTGCAACCGCTGCTGCACCTGACAGACAACCGCCTGTTAGGTGTAGGAAGTGGGGGGGGGGAGTGTGTTGGAAGCCATTGGAGAGGCTGGGCCAGCAGCATTGCTAAGGTGATCCTGCTGGGGTGGGCATCCCTTATGGATTAAAGTACCCTGGTCCTGCTCCTACACCTGACAGACACCCACTTGTCTGGTGTTGGGGTGATTATGTTTAAAGGCATCAGGGAGGCTGGGCCAGCAGCAGGGCTAAGCCAATCTTGCTGAGCAAACCTCCCTGGCGGCGGTAAGCATCCCACCTCCTCTCCTACACCTGACAGGCAGTTGCCTGTCCAGTGTAGGAGGGGGCAGGGGGAGGAGTATTAGAAGCCACTTTGGGGGCAGGGGCAGCAGGATCACTAAGGCATTACTGCTGGGGTGGGCTCCCTCGTGTCTTTAAGCACCCTGCAACTGCTGCTGCACCTGACAAGACAACTGCCTGTCAGGTATAGGAGGGGGGAGCATGTTTGAAGCCATAGGGAGGCTGGGCCAGCATCACCACTAAGTTGATCATGCTTGGGCATTGTCCCTCATGGATTAAAGTACCCTGATCCTGGTCCTACACCTGACAGACACCTGCCTGTCTGGTGTGTGTGTGTGGGATCATGTTTAAAGGGATCAGGGAGGCTGGGCCAGCAGCAGGGCTAAGGCAATCCTGCTGAGGAAACATCTCCGGCAGCTGTAAGCATCCCACCTCCTCTCCTACACCTGATAGGCAGCTGCCTGTCCAGTGTAGGAGGGGGAGAGGGGAGGAGTATTAGAAGCTACTGTGGAAGCAGGGCTGACAGGATCACGAAGGTGGTAACTCCCTCGTGGCTTTAAGCACCCTGCAACTGCTGCTGCACCTGACAGACAACTGTCTGTCAGGTGTAGGAGGGGGGAGCATGTTTGAAGCCATAGGGAGGCTGGGCCAGCAGCTTTGCTTCACCTCACAGGCATTCGGCCACTCCTGATTTCCTCAACTGTCATTAGCTCTCTGTAGTCCCCTGTAACTTTTTTTTACCTCAGAACACTGAGCTCCTCAACTGACCAATCAGAGGGTGGGAGGTTCAAGGAGGCAGCAGCCTGGCAGCTGCATAGGAATCAATGGGGGAGCATAGTTTACCCCTTTTGACCCCCTTAGGGGTCGAATTTCTAAAAATCCCTTCTTACTGAGCATCTACATCACAGTAGGAGCGCTCTCCCCGAATTTGGTAGTTCTAGGTCCAGCGGTTTGGCCTAGGCGTTGGTTCGAACACTGGATAGCAGTTTATACCCATGGCAGAGTGTTCAGTTGACAGTTTTGTCAATAGTGCAAAATCTAGGCATTGAAAAAGCAACTCAGCAAGGAAACTAGACATGGTCCAAAGGGTTGTGTAAATCATCCTTTTGGTTGAGAGCAATGGCAAAAAAGAGAGCAGAATTGGTATGGCTTGTTCATCTCTGGCAGTTGCAAATGAAGCCTCATTACTGGCTTTTCCTTATTTATAGTCTTAAACTGCATATTACAGTGATGTTGTAGTACATGGTATAAACATTTTTAAAATGGTCCCGTTCTCTGGAACATCTACATTCCTGTACAGGAAATATATGGGCCGCAACTTAGAAGATTTCTTTGTACCTTCTGTGACTAGAAAGGACAGTTGTAAATCATCCCTGGTACCTAGAACTACTTCTGACTTTACCTGGACACAGGACCAACTGCATCTGTTCAAGAAGACTGTGGATGTTGTCATTTTTATTGAACAATGGGAACTTAAGGCTAATTGCATGCCTAAATGGCAGAGCAAATGTTTCCAAAATACCTTATTAAAACTGCTCATTCCACAGCTCTCCCAAGGTTAAACCTCAAGATATTTGCTGAACTGCCTGTTTCTGCATACTATGTACTTCCTTTTCAAATGTACAGATTAATTAACCTTTAATGCTCAGAAGGCAGCTGACTTTAAAAATACAGAAGTTAGCTTGAATAGTTTGTCACTATTCAATTTTGTGGTGTTGTGGTCCTGCCATAACAAGTGATATTATTTACAGAATTTAAAGCCTATCTTTCTACCCTCGGGGCCATCAAGGCAGCAGACCTAAAATGTACACAATAAAAACAGCATTTAAACAATTACAATACAATAAACAATTACACGTCCTTAAACAATAAAAACAGGTCAGGAAGGAAGAATCACTTCTGCTGGTGGAAGACAGCAAAAGAAGGGAACAGGCCAGTCTCTCTCGGGAGAGGGCCCCCACTTTCGGTGCCAAGACGAAAAAGGCACCTGCCTAACGTTAGAAGGCGGGAGCACCCAAAGCAGGCCTTGCAAGATTACTATAGCAATCAGACTTGTAAGGGAGTAAGTAGGTATGTTGGTCCCAAACCATGTAGAATTTCAAATGTCAACACTAGCCCCTTGAATTGCGCTTGGAAACAGATTAGGAACCAGCCTAGATGGGCCACGGCTAGAGTGATACTGCCCCTACGATCCATTACAGTCAGCCTGGCTGCAGTGTTCTGCACCAATTGATAGACTAGATTTTGTGCTAACAGATTGGCTTGGAAGTAAATGCCTCAGCCTAATACTCAATTCTGGGTTCAAAGGATTACTTATATGTACTTTGCATTGCTGTACCAAAATGTACAAAAAGCACTGTGTAATGAAGGGTAATGTGTGGCAAAAAAACCTGAGCTACTTGGAACAATTTTTAAATTCTACTAGAGTGGATAGGATGTTCTATATTTGTTGGCCAAAAAGAGACAGCCTGCTCTGTCCGTAGGTACCGGGGGGGGGGGGGGCTGTTCAAAGCATTGAAGCTGGATGTGGAATATCTGCCTTCATATTTTAAGAGATCAACAAGCCTGGCTTCGGAAAAAATCCTGTTTCTTTAGTTCATAAAAGCTCATGATGTTAGGAAAGCCTACAAATATGTGTAAGTGCACACCAGGAATCCAATTATTTCCACAGCCGGTTTTCTCTAGTTTGTGCCAGCTTTCTATTTCCTCAGTAATGCTTCCTAGCAGTAGAAATGCCAAATTAGCATGTTCCCTGGAAGGCCAGATAATGAAACTGAAGCTCAAATACTTTGGCCACCAAATGAGAAGGGAGCACTCACTGGAGAAGACCCTGATGCTGGGAAAGACTGAAGGTCAAAGAAGACGGGGACGGCAAAGGATGAGATGGTTAGACAGTGTCATAGATGCAACGAACATGAAATTGAGCAAACTTCAGAGGACGGCAGGCCAGGAGGGCCTGGTGTGATCTGGTCCATGGGGTCGCGAAGAGTTGGACTCGACTGTGCGACTGAACAACAACAAGTAACGTATTATAGAGGAGCTAGATCTTAAGATAGGTATAGCACTGCCTTTAGCTAGAGAATATGAACCCTTAATTTACTACACATCAAGCAACGGATGCAAAGATTGGTGAGAAACAATTGTCTATTTTATCATTCTTCTGAAATGAAGATTCATAAAAACAATCAGGGCAACTCTGTAGGAGCTCACAGAAAAAACTAAGCCACAAAAAAGGTCAAAGTACCATTTCATTTCCTCCTCATATCTATATATCTAATAGCCAAGTTGCCCCTTCGTGCGGATATCTAAATCCGCATATGGGAGGCACTTGGGGGGCAGAGAGATTTTCCTGCAGACTTGGAGCAGTCCCCAGATGTGCAGAAAAATCTGAAAAGTTAAAAAAAAAGTATATGGGGATACTTAAATCCCCCCCAAAAGTAAAAGAGCATTCCCTGTGCTTGCGCAGAGAATGCACTTAACTCCGGAATCTGTGGCAGAGCCGCACAGGGATCACCACTGTTGGTGCTGGTGGCGCGGGGGGGTGGCGGGTG